GGGGGCACGGGGCGGGCGAGGGGAGGGGCTGCCGAGTCGCGCGGGCTACAAATACCGAACGCGGACTGCCTGGAAGGGGCGGCGGGCGCGAGGGACGGGATGGGTTCTGACGTCACCGCCTTCGGGAGGCGCGCGTGACGCCCCCCTCCCTTGGGTAGCCGGGCGGAGGGGTCTCTCATTTGGCGCCCAGGATGTGGCGCGAAGACAGTTCTGCTTCTTTTTCCTCACGGAGGCGGGGGAGGACGGGGGAGGGAATCTCCAGATGAGCGGGGACGCGCGTTTCCCGTAAAGTTCATGTGTATTTCTAGTACGTGGCAGACGAGAACCAGCGGAGGGACTTGACACTTAGGGAAAGTTTTTTAAAGAGACCAGGAAACCAGCGGCGCGTTAACAAGCCTGTCAACCCATCCCCACGTTGCTGCTTTCATTAAGGCTACTGGACACGGTCCCCTGGAAGAGAACATTCACGAGACCCCCCTCCCCCACCTCGGATTAGCCAGACCCGTTGTGGTTCAGGGTGTGCCGCGAAGCCAGAAAATTGAGGTCCACCCTGGTTGCGGCGATTAACCCAAGGTTCCGGGTTGGCAGCAAATTCCCAGGGCTGGCGGATTGGGAGCTGTCACCCGAGGCAGCCCTGACGAAGATCCCTGGCGGCTGCCCGCTTCTGGTGCCCTCCCCTCCGCAAGTTCCTCGGGAAACATCCGTGTCTTCTGCAGCATGCAGCACTGGGGAGGCAAGTGAACTTGGGGTCCTACCCGACGGCGCCACCGACAATAATAGACCCCTTCCAACGCCCTGCTCAAAAGGGGCAATCAGTCCTTCTCCAGGTCAGCAGAGTTGTGGGGAAAGTTCCGCTAAGGGGTCTTTTCTCTTTCGAAGAAAAGGAGGTGGCATTCCCTGGTGACACTCACATGAGGAGGTCTATCATGAAAAAAGGAAATATCCTCGCTTCCACGCCTTCCCATGTATGAATCAGCTTATGCTTGCTAAATGGGGGTAAAGCATATAAATAGTACATGAAATGTTATAAGTACAGATACCCAAACGTCATCGGGATTCTTATTGCTGTTTTCTTTTTTAGGATCACAGTTTGACTCAGTTTCTTAATAAGAAAGGGAGAGGAAAGAAGAAAATTGTGTTCAAATCATTAAAGAGAAGAAACCCACATCCTTGGCCCTGGATGGCAGGGCAACTCGGGTACATCTGAAGCAAGGTCACACAAAAACTCTGTGTGTGCTGAGTGAGATGCCCAGGCAGGAGTGCAGTGTAACTTGTTCATGGCTGAGCAGACGGACTGAACACGAATTCTTCTATTTCTTCCTAAAGATGGAAAGTGCTTGGGATTTCCCAAATGCATTGAAATAGAGTCACATGCTGTACTTAAGCAGCTGATATGCCTTCAGAGTGCTTGGAAGTCCCCTCTGGGAATGCCATTAAGTGCTCCAGGTTCACAGGGTGGCTTTTCTCTGCTTTCTGAAAAAAATCTCTCCACTCCTCAAACACCAAAGGTGTCAGCTTCACATGATCTCACATAATGCTCCAAAGTTTGGGAAGGGCCAGCTGCTTGCAGTGGAGATCACAAAAAGTGGTACCCACTTGTAGAGACTAAAATTTAGTGTAGCTTTAGGTTTTGTGGACTACAGTTTATTTCATCAGAGACACTGAGTGTTATTCTGAGAGAGAGCAGTGGAAAATATAAAAGGAGCCATGGAGAAAGATGAAATGTGGGAAATAGGTATTATTTACAAATCACTAGATGCACACAGATATTCTTGCATTATTGAATTTACTCCACATAATGTGATAAGAAACCTTGAAAAAAATTTATTCCCTGAGAAATAGTGTTAAGTCTAATAAACTTCAATCCAGCTATTTCTCAAAGAAATTAGCCTTTATAATTCCTTTGCAATTTTTAGATGAGTGATGAGTTTCCTAGGTGATTAAGTACTTTCCTACTGATTTTTGAATATTAATGACAAATAAGGGTCCATTTCTTTTTCTTTTTTCTTTTCTTTTTTTGTGTATTGGGCTGAGATAGCAGCATATATCTCATTGGCAAATGAACAAGTTTATGAATATCTAATATTACAACTGATATTTACTCCTTTAACAGTGTTGCTGAAGTAGGTATATGGACAGGATAATGCTGCTGCTCCTTGTGTACAGCAAAAATATAACTAACATTTCTGTGCATTCTTACTTAGAAATAAGCTGAGTTCAATGTAGTTTACTCCCCAGGAGGTATGCATATGATTGCTGCTTCAGTTCTCATCACTGTGGAGTGAAGCATGTCCTCGTTCTTTCTGGAGTTCAGACTGAGTGTGGCTCTTTATGTAGCCAAAATAGCACTATCCACATAAAAAAGATTTGTAGAAGTTTATATTTTTTTATTTGGTGCTTTCAAATCAGTGTTGACTCCTGGTGGCTGCCTGGACAAGCCCCTGCATTTTTCTTGGCAAGATTTCAGAGGTGGTTTGCCATTGCCTGCTTCCTAGGACTGATAGAATGGCCCAAGGTCACCCACGTGGCTTTGTGCGTAAGGTGGGACCAGAACTCATGGTCTCCCAGTTTCTAGCCTGGTGCCTTAACCACTACACCAAACTGGCTCTCCATGAAAACATTAAGGTGGGGAAGGGGGGGAGAGGATACTTCCTCCTCCAGCATTTCAGTAGGGATTTTTTTTAGATTTTTTTTTTATCCTGCCTTTATTATTTTTATAAATAACTCAAGGTGGCAAACATACCTAATATTCCTTCCTCCTGTTTTCCCCACAGCAGCAACCCTGTGAGGTGAGTTGGGCTGAGAGAGAGTGACTGGCCCAAGGTCACCCAGACGGCTTTCATGCCCAAGGTGAGACTAGAACTCAGTCTCCTGGTTTCTAGCCTGGTGCCTTAACCACTAGACCAAACTGGCTCTTTTAGTGTTTATGCAGCCATAAAATGCATGTTGTTGTGGGGAAGGGGGAGGGGGGATGAAGAGGGAAACAGAATACAGAATCTAACTTTCTGTCTACTATTTCATTTCACAACAAGACCTTGCAAGGTTGTAAAACAAAATAGGAGCTAAAATCTTTCTTGGGCAGCTCTTTAGAATAAACAATCTCATGTGAAATCCATTATGTTAAATGGCATAATGGGGAATTATAGGACTCCCATTTATTCAAAAGTCACTTTAAGGCTCTTAACACACATAGAAGCCAAATACTATAGCTGCGCTAGTTGACAGAACTACTAGCAGAATTCAGGGTTTAGTTACAGCACATTGTAATCTTATTCTTTCTCTTACACACATGAATGCAGTCACAACTGCAGTATTTTTGGAGTAAAAGCTAAAATAGTCTTATCCAGAGAACATACAGTGGGCCAAATCAATATATTCTCCAATGTCCAGTGAGATCATAACACCTCCAGCTGCTATTCCAAATTCATTCCAAAGTTAGCTCTTCTCCAGCTCTTTCCCGTAATAGCAACCACTGCATTTGATTGCTGTATATTTCTTGGGGTTGGCAAGCCAGACAGGGTTGGAATTGCTCCTGATAATTGATGGGTTTCAGCTTGCAGGAGACAGTAGTTCTCTCTAATCATCAAGGATGGGAATTTGTCTGCAAAGATTTAATTTAAAAATGCTGAAATAAGATCAGTTCTAACATGCGATCCATACCATTTGTTAATACTGTACTGGACACAGAAATAAATTCTAGTTTCAACTGTATTGTATCCAAATTGTCTAAATCAATGCTTCCAGGAAACGTTTTTCATCATTACATATTTCAGATATCAGTTAATATTAAAAAAAATAATAAGTGTTCATAGCCATCAGAATTTTTAATCCTTTAGTTTTGGTTTGTTGTTAACAATGTAATATGCAATAGGAAATTGAAAATGCATCTGGTTTATTATTTAGATGCTTTTTACTATTGAACCTGACCCTATTTAATGATGAATATTTTAAATACAGGTGGGGAAAAACTGAGTTGGTCAATATAATTTCATGAATATTTGATAAAAATGTAGTTATGGAATGGAAAGCCTTATGATTTTCTATTATGCTCTGAAGGTATATTTTATTATTATGTTTGTATATTATCAAATAAGTTCAGTAATAAAAATGTAAATGTAATCAATTTGTGGAAAAAAATAAATCTAAATTTAAACTAAAGCAACAGAGAATGCAGAATATAATTCATCACTTATTTAAATAGGTTTTAATAATTATTAGGTATATGTTCCTGCTTGTAAGCATTTTTCCTAATCTTACAAATGAAAAAATCTGGAAGGATTTTAGATTTACCACAATAAAAATAACATGCTCATATAACTCTGCCGCCCAGAGTCACCCATTGGGGGAGATGGGCGGCATACAAATTTGAAAAATAAATAAAATAAATAAATAAACTTAGATTGTTACAACAATTAATGATAGAAAAAGAAAATTTAAACAAGCAATTTTTTTTTCCTGAGAGTGTAAGCAGGTGCCATATATACTAGAATAAGGCTTCATATTCCCGAAGGAATAAGTAAAGTATAGTAGTAGTAGTCTGACCCTATTCCCATTGTGTATGGGGTTGATCAAATTTTTATATAACTTCACATACTATTCTAGTCAGGGTGATCTTTGTTTTTGTTTCTTTTGTTTACACATCCATTTAAAATCTGAATAAAAACCTTCATATTCAAAGTACATGGTTTTCCTACCCAGAGGCATCCCTATGTAGTGAAAATGCGAGATAAAAAAATATACCAGAGAATGACTAATATCAGGTAGCCAAAAATCAGGTCTGATAGCAACTTTTCAACTAGCATATTTTATTAAAAGTCATGAGCTAGTGTGAATTACCGCCCACTTCATCAGATGCATGGAATGGCTAAACTGAT